GCATGAAGGCAATATCAAGAACAAATTGTCATATAAAAGCTATTAGGATCTGTCAGCGGTTAATTTGAGATTTTGTTTGTTACCTTGATAAAGATATATAAAGACATTAAAACATTCTACTACTGCATACTAGGAAATTTTCACCCCACTTTAATTTTTACTTCTTTGATTCTCTTATATAACATTTCTATGAAATACTCAGAGGGAGAAATGAGCATGAGATGAATTTGTGTGTAATGGTACAAAAGTGAAAATAACTTGGGGTGAATACATTCCAGTATACAGTATCTGTTTTACGGTTTATGACAAAGATTTTACTCAATTTGTTGAAAGTTTGAGTACTTTGTGGCATGTGTGTGATATAGGTGTTTTGTCCATCAACTTTTCATTTTAAGGACATGGTATGATACCTTTTAGTCCAGTGTCAACAGATTTTTATTAAGATCATGTCCTTTTAGGATTATTTAATGAAGTTTGGTAACAAATTTAAGGGTGGTATTGCAGGCCTTAATCATGTGATGACAATTTTGTTGAAAAAGGAACCACCCCTGGATTGACATAATAAAATCTCATGTAAATAGGAAAGCATACAGACAAGAAAGTGAGATTTTCAAAATATATACAGCTTCAATGGGAAGATGGGCACCACTTAGGAGATAAAATGGAATTTTAAATGATTATGGCATCCTAGAGAGAGCACAAAAATGAAGATAATTTACGAAGGGAAAAAAATGCAGATTTGAAAAAAAATAACAGCACTCCAGAGAAAGAAATAGGGGTTCAAATTATTGGTGGACCCTGGGGAGAAAAAGGGAGGTTTAAATATAGGGGTAAATGATATGATGGTTATTTTTGTATTAAGTGTCCTTTGGAAAAAAAATTCAATTTTGTGATTGTTCCTGAATGGCATAAAGCTATTGACCCTGCATTTAGGGTAAAAAATAAAGAAATTTATATTATTGAATCATTGAATTATTTGCTTGCTTAATAGAGTTGTCTCATGTGTTTAATTCCTCATCACAAATTATAATGAACATCAGAAAAAAAGGTGGGTATCAGGAATTCATACTGTCTACCTGTCCCTTTGTTGTAATTTAATATTTTTGAGGTGAGTATCTTAATTGTACAGTACATGACAGAGACATTTTTAGAAAAAACAACAAATAGACAGATAATCCTGTTTCTCATGTTAAATCATGGGCCAGCACTCTGTCTTGATTGTTCATTACATGATAATTTGTAATTACAACAATTGGGAGAGAAAAGAGAAAATCAATCACCAAAATTATAGTTTTGTCTGAAATTTCAATAATTATATCATTTGTGAGAGTTAATGACCCTGAAATCTGTAAAGTATTTCTCAAAGTTGCTAAATCAGGAAAGAATTAATTGTATGATATTAAAAAAAAAAAAAAAAAAAGAATTTATCAGAAAGTTAAGGAAGTGTTGGAGTTTTTGATGGAAGTTTTATTATAATCATTATTATACAGATAATGTATGAGGGCTGATTGATAAGTTTTGAGCTTTGTATTGAAGAAGTTAAACAAGGATGTCCTTTTTCAGCTCTACTTTTCCCTGACTATTTAACACTGTGTACCTGAAAACTTGTGTCATTTGGTCAGTTTATTTATAAGAATTAGCACTCTAAAGTAACTAAGGCAAGTGACTTTTGCAAAGTGGACAAAATCACTGAAAGAGCAGTAATTCAATATTTGCAAAAGAAAGGTGTAGCACCTAAGGATATCCATACTGATATGGTAGCAACACTAGGGATCGATGCCCCTTCATATGCTACAGTGAAAAGGTGGGTGGCAAAATTTTAGCATGGCAGGCAGAGCTTTGGAGAAGACACCTGTCCTAGAAGGCCTGTCACCATTGCAACCTCAGAAATGGTCAATGGTATTGTTATGATGGACAGGCAAATTACAAAGAGATATATAACCAGTACAGTTGGGATTTCACAAGAAAGAGTACATTCCATTCTTATGGAAGATCTTGCAATGAAAAAGCTCTCAGCCTGTTGGGTACTAAGACTTCTGACAGTTGATCAGAAGCACCACCAGGCAGACTTTGATGCCTACTAATCTGAACCTCAATGAGGGAGATCCTGCTAACTGTCTGCAGAGGTTTGTGACTATGGATGTTGGTCCACCATTTCACCTCAGAGGCCAAGCACCTATCTGAACAATGGAAGCACCATGGTTCACCCCAACCAAAGAAGGCAAAGCCTGTTTCATCAGCTGAAAAAGTTATGGCATTGGCTTTCTGTGATGCTGATGGTATTCTGATAGTAGATTATCTACAAATGGGACAAGTGATCAATGGCACATATTATGCATCACTTCTTAGGCAGTTAAGAGAAAATTTTTAACTCTAGTGCCGCGGAAAACTCATTAAAGGTGTGTTGTTCCACCATGATCATGCCCCTGTTCAGAAGTCTGTCATCACCATGGCTGCCGTTAACGATTGTGGCTTTAAATTAATTGAGCCTTTGCCTTATTCACTTGATCTTGCTCCGTCAGACTTTCATCTATTTCCTAAATTGAAAAAGCCATTTCCTGTCCTCACTTTCAGATAATGGTGTCATATGTGAAGTGGAGGACTTTCTGAATGGTCAAGAAAAGGACTTTCCTTAAAAGTGGCATTGAGACCCTTAAACATTGCTGGCAAAATGCATAGATACTGAAGGGGATTATGTTTGAAAATCATGCAATATGTCTGCCAAAATTCAAACATGAAGCCCTCGTATATATATATATCAAGATTTAACGGCAGTACAAAACAAAAATGCACTGCTTTATATAATATGTATTATCATAATGTTACATGTAGACAACTCCTGTAGTGCTCCTGTGTGTTAACTATTATCACTGTATTAATGATTATTTCTGATACAAATAACACCGTAGCTAGAATGATCGAAATGAAAAATACAAGGTCCTACAACTCAGACACATCCATTGAATATCTAGAGTTCTTGTCTACTTAGCACCTTCACATTGTACAGAGAACTGCTGCGGGACTGCAACACTATTTGGTTATGTGACCACTTTTTGTGATATTTAACGAACTGTTCTTAGGTGATTGAAATACATATACCTAACAAAACTGAACCCATTTTTCACATTTTTTGCAATGGAATTCTGAGGGATAAGGTTGCACAGTTGAAATATCAAAGATATTCTGATATTTTCACTTCATTTTGGCCAACCAGATCACAGCATATATTCTATTACACAGAATTTTAAATGTCAATTCAATCTAATTTTTCCAATTCATCTATAATGACTGAACAATGGAAATTCCACTGGACCCAATAGTGAAGCAGATGTCCATATTAAATGAATATGTCCCCACCTTGTGAAAAAAATGACTTTACCTAATATTTAAAAAGGACTGGTATAAATCACCTCATTAGCAGTTGATATAGTTTTTGAACTGCTCCAGCCTTGATTCTAACTTGGTATAGTTTTTGAACTGCTCCAGCCTTGATTCTAACTTGGTATAGTTTTTGAACTGCTCCAGCCTTGGTCCTCAGTTGGTATAGTTTTTTTATCTGCTTCAGCCTTGGTTTTCAGCTGATATAGTTTTTGAACTGTTCCAGCCTTGGTTTTCAGCTGATATAGTTTTTGAACTGCTCCAGCCTTGGTTTTCAGCTGATATAGTTTTTGAACTGTTCCAGCTTTGGTCCTCAGTTTGTATTGTTTTTTTATCTGCTTCAGCCTTGGTTTTCAGCTGATATAGTTTTTGAACTGTTCCAGCCTTGGTTTTCAGCTGATATAGTTTTTGAACTGTTCCAGCCTTGGTTTTCAGCTGATATAGTTTTTGAACTGTTCCAGCCTTGGTTTTCAGCTGATATAGTTTTTGAACTGCTCCAGCCTTGGTTTTCAGCTGATATAGTTTTTGAACTGTTCCAGCCTTGGTTTTCAGCTGATATAGTTTTTGAACTGCTCCAGCCTTGGTTTTCAGCTGATATAGTTTTTGAACTGCTCCAGCCTTGATTTTCAGCTGATATAGTTTTTGAACTGCTTCAGCCTTGGGTTTCAGCTGATATAGTTTTTGAACTGCTTCAGCCTTGGGTTTCAGCTGATATAGTTTTTGAACTGCTCCAGCCTTGATTCTCTGTTTCTCCAATGTAATGATCTATCTTGTCAATGAGTTGTAGTTTTTTTAACAATCACAGATGAAGATTTGTCTTTCTGATTGAATGAGACTTTAATCTCCGTAGAGATCTAATGATGCTGTACTGACTGGCTGCAGCATTGCAGGCTCATTCTGTCAGTAAGGTAAATTAGTTTTAATGGACAAATGTCACAGTTGCTATTTTACCAGTGGTGTTGCTTTATTTATCTGCCATTGAACATATTAACTTGGCCATCATGGACTGCATTTAGCTGACACATTTCAACCTTTTTTTCCAGTTCTTTAGATTTCAAAACACATTTGCGTTTCAACCAGATACTAAGGGTCTTCTGGAAAACATTTTGAAATTTGCATATGAATGAATTGTCTTGAAATATATATCCAGATTCATGTAACAGGAATGGATATTATTTCATTACAGCGACCAGGTGTTCTTGAATAACAGAAACATGACAAAGTATTTGTTTCTTAGAAATATATAATACAGATGAATATAGTTTATGATCATTTGGACAAAGCTAGGATATCAGAGCCTAAACATGATCAATCTAGGGCATCAGAACCTAAACATGACCAAACAAGGACATCAAGGACATCAGAACCTAAACATGACCAAACTAGGATATTAGAGCCTTAACATGACCAGACTAGGACATCAGAACCTAACCCTCACCAAACTAGGACATCAGAACCTAAATATGACCAAAATAGGACATTAAGAACATCAGAACCTCAACCTGACCAAACAAGGACATCAGAACCTAAACATGACCAGACTAGGACATCAGAAACTAAACATGACCAAACAAGGACATCAGAACCTAAACATGACCAAACAAGGAAATTAGAGTCTAAACATGACCAAACTAGGACATCAGAACCTAAACATGACCAGACTAGGACATCAGAACCTAAACATGACCAAACTAGGACATCAAAACCTAAACATGACCAAACTAGGACATCAGAACCTAAACATGATCAAACTAGGACATCAGAACCTAAGCATGATCAAACTAGGGCATCAGAATCTCAACCTGACCAAACTAGGACATCAGTGCCTAAACATGACCAAACAAGGACATCAAGGACATCAGAACCTAAACATGACCAGACTACGACATCAGAACCTAAACATGACCAGACTTGGACATCAGAATCTAAACATGACCAAACTTGGACATCAGAATCTAAACATGACCAAACTTGGACATCAGAACCTCAACCTGACGAAACAAGGACATCAAGGACATCAGAACCTAAACATGACCAGACTAGAACATCAGAACCTTAACATGACCAAACTAGGACATCAGAATCTAAACCTGACCAAACAAGGACATCAAGGACATCAGAACCTAAATCTGACCAAACTAGGACATCAGAACCTAAACATGACCAAACTAGGACATCAAGAACATCAGAACCTAAACATGACCAGACTAGGACATCAGAACCTAAACATGACCAAACTAGGACATCAGAACCTAAACCTGACCAAACTAGGACATCAGAACCTAAATATGACCAAAATAGGACATCAAGAACATCAGAACCTAAACATGACCAGACTATGACATCAGAACCTAAACATGACCAAACTAGGACATTAGAGCCTAAACTTGACCAAACTAGGACATCAGAATCGAAATATGACCAAACTAGGGCATCAAAATCTAAACATGATCAAACTAGGACATCAGAACGTAAACCTGACCAAACAAGGACATCAAGGACATCAGAACCTAAACCTGACTCAGCTAGGACATCAGAACGTAAACCTGACCAAACTAGGACATCAGAACCTAAATCTGACCAAATTAGGACATCAAGGACATCAGAACCTAAACTTGACAAAACTAGGACATTAGAGCCTTAACATGACTAAACTACGACATCAGAACCTAACCCTCACCAAACTAGGACATTAGAACCTAACCCTCACCAAACTAGGACATCAGAACCTAAACATGACCATACTAGGACATCAGAACCTAAACATGACCAAACAAGGACATCAGAGACTAAACCTGACCAAACAAGGACATCAAGGACATCAGAACCTAAACATGACCAAACTAGGACATCAGAACCTAAACATGACCAAACTAGGACATCAGAACCTAAACCTGACCAAACAAGGAAATTAGAGTCTAAACATGACCAAACTAGGACATCAGAACCTAAACCTGACCAAACAAGGACATCAGAACTTAAAAATGATCAAACTAGGACATTAGAACCTAAACATGACCGAACTAGGACATCAGAACCTAAACATGACCAGACTAGGACATCAAAAACATCAGAACCTAAACATGACCAAACTAGGACATCAGAACCTAAACCTGACCAAACAAGGACATCAGAACTTAAAAATGATCAAACTAGGACATTAGAACCTAAACATGACCGAACTAGGACATCAGAACCTAAACATGACCAGACTAGGACATCAGAACCTAAACATGACCAAACTAGGACATTAGAACCTAAACATGACCGAACTAGGACATCAGAACCTAAACCTGACTAAACAAGGACATCTAGGGCATCAAGACCTAAACATGATCAAACTAGGACATCAGAACCTAAACATGACCAAACTTGGACATCAGAACCTCAACCTGACCAAACAAGGACATCAAGGACATCAGAACCTAAACCTGATTCAACTAGGACATCAGAACCTAAACCTGACCAAGCAAGGACATCAGAACCTAAACATGACCAGAGTATGACATCAGAACCTAAACCTGACCAAACTAGGACATCAGAATCTAAACCTGACCAAACAAGGACATCAAGGACATCAGAACCTAAACCTGACAAAACTAGGACATTAGAGCCTAAACATGACTAAACTAGGACATCAGAACCTAACCCTCACCAAACTAGGACATTAGAACCTAACCGTCACCAAACTAGGACATCAGAACCTAAACATGACCATACTAGGACATCAGAACCTAAACATGACCAAACAAGGACATCAGAGACTAAACATGACCAAACTAGGACATCAAAAACATCAGAACCTAAACATGACCAAACTAGGACATCAGAACCTAAACCTGACCAAACAAGGACATCAGAACTTAAAAATGATCAAACTAGGACATCAGAACCTAAACATGACCAGACTAGGACATCAGAACCTAAACATGACCAAACTAGGACATTAGAACCTAAACATGACCGAACTAGGACATCAGAACCTAAACCTGACTAAACAAGGACATCTAGGGCATCAAAACCTAAACATGATCAAACTAGGACATCAGAACCTAAACATGACCAAACTTGGACATCAGAACCTCAACCTGACCAAACAAGGACATCAAGGACATCAGAACCTAAACCTGATTCACCTAGGACATCAGAACCTAAACCTGACCAAACAAGGACATCAGAACCTATACATGACCAAACAAGGACATCAGAACCTAAACATGACCAAACAAGGACATCAAGGACATTAGAGCCTAAACATGACTAAACTAGGACATCAGAACCTAACCCTCACCAAACTAGGACATTAGAACCTAACCCTCACCAGACTAGGACATCAGAACCTAAACATGACCAAACAAGGACATCAGAGACTAAACATGACCAATCTAGGACATCAAAAACATCAGAACCTAAACATGACCAAACTAGGACATCAGAACCTAAACCTGACCAAACAAGGACATCAGAAGTAAAAAATGACCAAACTAGGACATCAGAACCTAAACATGACCAAACATGGACATCAAGGACATCAGAGCTTAAACATGACTAGACTAGGACATTAGAACCTAAACATGACCAGACTAGGACATCAGAACCTAAACATGACCAAACTAGGATATCAGAACCTAAATATTATCAAACAAGGACATAAAGGACATCAGAACCTAAACCTGACCAAACTAGGACATCAAGGACATCAGGACCTTAACCTGACTCAACTAGGACATCAGAACCTAAACATGACCAGACTAGGATATCAGAACCTAAACATGACCAGACTAGAATATCAGAACCTAACCCTCACCAAATTAGGACATCAGAACCTAAATATGACCAGACTAGGACATCAGAACCTAAGCATGACCAAACTTGGACATCAGAACCTAAACCTGGCCAAACTAGGACATCAGGGACATCAGAACCTAAACATGACCAAATTAGGACATCAAGGACATTAGAGCCTAAACATGACCAGACTAGGATATCAGAACCTAGACATGACAGACTAGGACACCAGAACCTCAACCTGACCAAACTAGGACATCAAGGACATCAGAACCTAAACATGACCAAACTAGGATATCAGAACATAGACAGGACAGACTAGGATACCAGAACCTCAACCTGACCAAACTAGAACATCAGAACCTAATCATGACCAAACTAAGATGTCAGAACCTAAACATGACCAAACAAGGACATCAAGGACATCAGAGCCTAAACATGACCAAACTAGGACATTAGAGCCTAAACTTGACCATACTAGGACATCAGAACCTAAGAATGACCAAACAAGGACATCATAGCCTAAACATGACCAGACTAGGGCATCAGAACCTAAACATAACCAAACTAGGACGTCTGAACCTAAACATGACCAAATAAGGATATAAGAACCTAAACATGACCAAACTAAGATGTCAGAACCTAAACATGACCAAACAAGGACATCAAGGACATCAGAACCTAAACATGACCAGACTAGGACATCAGAACCTAAACATGACCAGACTAGGACATCAGAACCTAAACATGACCAAACAAAGACATCAAGGACATGAGAACCTAAACCTGACCAAACAAGGACATCAAGGACATCAGAACCTAAACCTGACTAAACTAGGACATCAGAACCTAACCATGGGGGGTGCAGTAGCTATTGGTCTCCAGGTTTGGTACTGATTTTCCTCATTAACAACATTTTATCATTGTAGTCACTTTTTCTATTTTGCCTTTCCTGTCTCTGTTTCTGTTCCATGGTATTTGTCTAAACTGTTTGTATTTTGTCCTATTCTTTTGTAATGTCCTGTTTGTTTGTCCCACTGTTTGATTTGTAGATGAAAGAACATGGTCTAATCTTATAAATTATGAAATTAAGTTTAACATATGTTATTAGATGTTTATGGATTAACACCTGTTGAAAACTGGTCCTTGTCAATACATGTGATCTTAGACGCCTTTAATGTAAAGTAACAGCTGGCCGTCGCTTAGTGAAGCAGATTCCCTAGATCTCCCTCTTCTTTAGGATGTGTGTCTTGTACATGGTATCATGCTGATGGTTCCTACATCGGTTGTCAGCTTGATGTTAGAACTCATCCATCACATCAGAAATCACTCAATTAGTGTGTTAAGTAGACACCACAAATTTTTAATATGTATCTAGATGAAAATTGAAGGTATGAAAAGGTAGTATATGTTTTGGTGTGACTATGGATAGTTTCAATCAAGTGAGGAAACTTTTCACTTGGAATATTCATCATCATAGAAGCTATTAGATAAGTTTCACATCCATTCAGAATCTTACCTGTGCTTGAAATCCAATTATGTGTGCCCTTGAACAAGATGTGGAAGCGTTTTGCACTACAGGTAAGTTGTATAACATGATGCTGTAAGTGCTGTTGGCTTGCTTTAGACGAAGTCACTTAAGTGATTAAGTAAGTATCCTTGACAGAAGTCAATGGAAGGATTGAAGTATCCTTGATATGAAGCCTATACCTGTGTGTTACCTAGATAAAGGCAGGAATTGTTCCTCCTAATCTTTACCTAGCCTCTAGTGTGGAAATGGAGATGAGTGGTTTAGTGGCACCGTTGTAATGCACTTGTCTTTCAATTAAGCAATCAGATCAGGCAAAGTCCTATTCTCCGATTAAACTTGAAAAATGAATATGTTCACCTACCCATCAACAGGGGTTTTCCCTGGGTATCCTGTTTCCTCCCAGTGAGATCCTGCACCCTCTGCACACCTTAATACAGGCCATCAAGCTTATACATATATATTTTTTTCTTTAATTTTACAATTGTTGTAAACAAAGTTTATATAATTTTACATATACAAGGACTACAATAAACCTTTGGTCAGTTCAAATAAGCAGGTAGTTTGAACACATTTCTTTTAAAATACAAACAATAGTTGTCTGTCTGGTGATAGTTCAAACATTTTCTAGTGTTGTTTCACTTACAGATCAATTTATTGGAACACACTGTGAGTGTACATATGCCTGACTATTGATAGTGATATTGGCATTAAAATAATCACTCCATGACAGGTGGTTACTCTTCACATCAACGGTAAATGCTGTGGTTGGCAGGCTGTAAATGACCACCATAAGCAATGGATACCACACATGCATGTCACTTAATTAGCATTGATTCTGTGTGATTCCTTTCATTTCTTACTGTCACATTGTGTTCGTACCAGCTGACACTTTTGAGACCCCAACTCTATCTTACAGCAATCGGTATATGGACCATGGAATGTTGGTATTGTCGAACAGCGACAGTGTTTCACTTCACATTTTAATAAGATAATTATGCAAGATAATCTCTATTCATTATGTCAAATAAATAATTGTACGACTCATAGATGTTCTTCATCAACACCAATGTGATGATTTTAACAAACATTAATCCGTAACTATATGTATCAGTCCACACTCTGCATACTGACATGTCAACACTAACAAACACAAACAAGTTCAACAATATTTATTTTATTTTGTTTGGACTGACCAAATGTCTACTGTAGTCAACTGATCCTGTATTGTGATAAGGACATCATGTCTGACATATTTCAGTGGTATACGTGCCCTCACTGTCATTGTTTTAATAGATATGTGGATCACAACAGGTCAACTATTATAATGATAATCTGCTTTTGCTTACAGATTAAGCTTAACTGACCTGTTAAGTTACAGGACACCCTTATTACTCCGAGATAGAAGTCCTATCGTTACCAGAAGCCTTCTTGTTTTAGATAAGAGATTAGTACAATGAAGGGTTTGTGAATCCAACTTAAATTATGTATAAACAACATAGAGAAACTATTGTTAGTGCAATTATATCCAATGAGTGCAATACTTTCCTTATAAAAAGCACTTATATAAGATGTCTGTTGATATCTGTTTATAATGTACAGACTAAATACTGCGTGGAACAGAACCAAAATTGTTTTATTCTCAGATATCGTTATGTTTTAGCACACTTGTTCTTAAATTCTCCTGTTGTTGATGAGACATAACACAAGCTTCATTTCATTAGTGTGAGATGGTGATGTTTTAATACTGTACTAATTAACCTAGAACTGCACTCTAACACAGTATATATAACGCACTCACCTGTCCCCTATGTATACCTTGTATTTGGCTACCAGTGGCTTCAATAATAATAGTATACAGGTTCCTTCTGACATGATACTGATTTTAAAATATATGATGCAAGTCAATCTCATTTTTATCATATTTTTCTACAATAGTGTGAGGATTACCAATATCTGTTGCCAGAAAAAGCCAGACAACTGTC